CCCCTCGTGCACGTCCCCTCCCCTCGTGCGCATCCCCATCCTTGTGCACATCCCCTCCCCTCGTGCACGTCCCCTCCCCTCGTGCACGTCCCCACCCGTCCTCACGCCGCCCAGCACCGGCTCACGTGTGCACACACGTCTGTCCTCACCTCGGGGGAGATCTTGGAGGGCTGCAGGATGCAGAGCTGCAGAACTGGGAAGAAAACACTGATGTTAGCTTACTGCTGGAGACGCATCGCTCCCCTCTGCCTTTCCCTCTGGCTTTTCCTTCAGAACATGCTCTCCATCAGGTTGCTGGCTGCTGGCTGGGGAGCCACAGCTCGGGCATGGCAGAAATTAGACGTGGGCAAGAATAGGATTAAAAAAGAAAGGTTCATGTGTATGGGACCTGCGTTTCGTTTTCCAGCAGCTCTTACATGCCTCATTGGAGATGTCTTGCATTACATCCAGGGAAAGATGGTAACTGTGGCTGTAATTTAATTAGCGTAATCCTTCCCACTGAAAGAGCCCGGTCCTGCTCCCTGTGACTTTGCCGTTACGCTCCAAAGGTTCTCGTGGCCCGTGTCTGTCGTACGGCTCCTGGAGGAAGAACTGGGATGGCTGTTGGTCAAACTCCTGCTGGCGTGGCGAAGGGGCTGCAGCCGCGTGTGGGTTTCCTGGCCGCGTGTGGCTTCCATGAGAAACCCACAGTCCAGAGAGCCCCCCCGCCTGCGCTGTTCAGGCCGTGGAAGCAACCGGGGGTTTGTGAGTAACGAGGGAGTGACTCTCACTGCATCGCTGTGTCACGCAGCTGATGGCAAGAAACACGGTTTGGCCATAACAGAACAACCGATGCTGATGGCATCACCTGTGTTGTGTTAATCTGCCCCGTCCTCCGCACAAACCCTGTGAGATCCTCCCCAAAATATCCGCATTTAAATATTTTCCTGGGTTTTGGGTTTGTTTGGTGGTTTTTTTTTTTGTGACATTAAACCATTTGGCTTCTCACCTCCATCCAAGAGGGCGAGGAATGCCAGGACCAGGAAGGGCGACGATTTCCCCACGAACTCGTACATCACGCTGCCAAGGGCCGCCCCGACTGCAAGGGACAGGCTGCGTCCCCCAGCGGCAGTGCCACCGTCCCCAGCCCCGGGCTGCTGGGCTCCTGCCACCGTCGGCTTCTCCGAATCCCCCGGCGGGTGTTTGGTGCCGGGTCCAGCAGAGGGGGAGCAGCCAGCCGTGCTCACGGGGTGCCACCGGGAGGGGACACGGGCGGCTGGGAGCGGGAGGGGTGGCCAGCGAGGCTCTGGAGATGCTGCTGGTGTAAACCCTGCGGGGAGGGGGGTTTCCTTACTCAGCAAACCCAAGGCCAAGCCTCCCAGAGCGATGCCCATGGCGTTGCCCCTCTCGACGTCGTCCGTGTAGACGTAGACGCTGGCGAGCATGCCCATGCCTGGGAGGAGAGAAGGAGGGGACCAGGTGAGGATGGATGGTACCGGGAGGGGGAATCCTCTCTGAATGCAGCCGGGGCTTGGGGGGGTTTATCGGCTCGCTGGGGGGGTGCAGTGAAGCCAAGGAAGGCTCTCAGCGTGCTGCTGTTCATTCTTTAATGGCAGCGAACAAGGAGAGCGGATGCAGAGAGCAAGGTGTGGCTGAAACATTTACCTGCGACGGAGGAGAACGAGGAGCCGATGCCTTGGAGCGCTCGGGCGATGAACAGCAGCGTGTAGGAGGCTGAGAAAGCAAACACTGCGGAGGAAGGGGAGAGACGGCGTCAGGGATGGAGCATCAAACCCCGCAGAGGGTCACAGCGGCCTCGGCCGGCACCGGTGCGGGTGCTGGAGGGACATGTGTCTGTCCTTGTCACCCATTTCTGAGCCCCGTGGCTCTGCTCTCGCTCCTGGCTCCTGCCCGGGGCAGCGGGGCAGGCACGGACCGAAG